TGGGGGGCGGGGGGGGGGACGGGACGGGGGAATACCCAGAGCCCCGATTTTTCATCCAGTGTATTCTGTCATTTACTTGCTAAATTAGTCCCTTTTACTTGATCCTTGCAGGAATTCCTATGTGAAGTACAAGAACTTACATTTATTCAGGTGATGCACAAGGAGCCAAATAGCTACACCTTTTGCAGACTTCAAACCCAACAAGCAGTAAAACCACAGTGGCAAAAAATCAAGTCTTTTTTTACCATTTTTCTTCGGCTAGAATGGTACTTCATAATACCCTAGACATCCTCACGGAAGATCTTTCTTTTCCTTCTGGATCCTTGCCAGAATGCAGGCAATATAGCAGAAAGTAAGAGCACAAAGCAAAAGCACTTGTGATAGTAGTTAGCAGAAAAAGTTAGGGTTTTTGACACTATGCTCTAATCTTGCCTGAAGAGCAGCAGGGCCTTATAAGCTACATGCGGCACCAGTGAGGTCACTCTGGACAGACACAACGCTATGCTCACAGTGTTATCACTGCACAACCCAGATCACCACAGCTGTAAAGTCAGCACACCCCAGGCACAGCTTAGAGTAACAACGCATTCACCCACCTGGAGTTTCCTTCCTCTATTTACTCGCCCTATTTTGTACATCTTGCACCACAACTCCTTTAGACAAAGCTAAAGGTAGCTGTAAGTAAATCGAATTCTTTAGCTCCCCTTTCCGGTGAAAAATCTGTGGTGAAAATGGACCTAAGAAAATAACAGCACCTGCAACAAAGCGTTTTGATATTTTGGAGAGAATTATTTTCATGGAGCTGGCTACAAAGTAAATCAAAAGTATATGCTTAGTTTTTATCCCAACAACATAAAACCCATTATACTAAATCATTCCCCATGGAAAGATTTCAATATATATGAAACTGTCAAAAATGTCCATTATATACATAAAGGGTACTATGTTATGTACCAAAAAAAAAAAGAAAAAGACAAAAGGAAGTAATAGAAAACCTAATGACAAATGGACAAGATAAATGAACACCTACCACAGAGGCTGGACAATTCCTAAATGGCAAAGGGTCAGAAAAAATTCCCAGGTTATATTGTAAAGTATTTCTATTATCTTTGGGACTGAGTAGAGCATAAGGAGTGCTATCAATAAATGTCCATGTATGTTCTATTGTTTGGCTCACTACAGCCTATTTCAATTTTCACTGACATGTTGAAGAAAAAACAAACCAACCAAAGCCCCCAAAAAGCAGGCCTGCCAACTATACAGAAAGAGACTACTAAACACACTATTCTATACTTTGTGTTTAAAAACACTCTGAGTTGTATATGCACAGAAGTACCACTACCTTCCTTCACAAGCTAATAAAGAAACCTCAAGGAAACATAAACCATATGCTAAGATAAGTGCACGCTGGGATAGTAGTCATAACTTTGTATTTCTTTTTAGAATTCCTTTAAAATATTCATGTCAGATAATCTTAAAGCATCCTGAATTTTAAAGAAGTTGAAAGGAAAAACAACCGATCCTGAAGAATAAACTCCCTATTTCCAAGTATAAGCCTGGATTCGCAGGAGCCCATATTCTTCTGATAGCTCCAGTGGTCGCAGACTGATACACCTACATTGGCTAAAATAGAGTTACCGGTGCTGAACAAGCACCAGTATAAGATAGCTAATGGTGTGTTCTGATCTTTTTGTTCCCTTTTCTTCAGCTTAATTCATCTTACCTGAAATAAAATGTGCATTACAGGGGCAAAACAAGCCTTTGAACTTTAGACTCAAAATGTTTTCCAAATTTCAGCCTATAACATTTCACAAGCCTTCTGCAACCTCTTACATAAAGCAATACAAGAATCACCTGTGCTTACGGGTCTCTTACACGGACATGAATCAGCATTATAAAACACTGACATTGTAATCTCTGAAATGGACATAGCACACACAGACAACCACTCTGAAAGTCCTTGCTGCAAGTCCCAAAGTAATTGCTTGGTCCAAACCTTGAAATCTTTTATTGTTTTGTTTCTTGAATACATTTAACAAACTCAATGGCACACTATTAACATAGCTGTTTGTTACTTATGTCAGCAGCTTTTCTTCATGCCCATTTGTTACTAAACAGGACTGAAAGCAGGAGTATCAAACCATCTCAAGTCAGCACTGCACTCTAAACCAGTGAAAATGGTGAATTTACTTCCCTATTCATCCTGAGATACAGTCTCCTCTGAGATGTTTTTCACATAGATTTCAGTAGCTACCAACTGGTTAAGACAGTATATTCTCACATCTGCCCAGTCTCCAATTTTTAGATTGCAGTCGTAGCATAGGTATTACTACCACTAATATCCATAAGCAGTTAACAAATCAAATCCTTATGGAAAAAGCCACAGGGATTAAAAGGAAGTGCTGTGTTTTGCAGATTTTTTGACTATTCCAAAATACTAGAGGAAGCTACACTCTTTAACAACTTTACTGTAGAAATTCTGAACTACTGTGTGGAAAACACTTGCTTTCAGTGACATTCCGTAAACTAAGAGTCATTTCTACAGCACTTATTAGCTGCAATACTTCCTCACTCTGACTTAGCAGGGCTCCATGAAGTAGCAGTTAAATACAGTGCCTCATAAGAGCTGAGGAAGATGCAGACCTGTGCATGCAAGTGATTCCAGTTAATCTTCTTCCAGCTGTGTGACAGAAGAGGCACATTCTCTCCAACAAAACAGTCAAGGCCATGGCCAAGATGGCAACTTGTGAGGCAAGTCTTCAATCCTCAGATCTCCAATAGACATTATTTGCAGCCTTGGACTAATATTTTCCATCCCTCATTCTGTGAAATGGGAAGACCAGCCCTTCCTTCCTGCCACTTCCACTCCCTTTTTGCATTGTGACACTGCACAGTTGAAGAAAACCCACTACAGAAAAAAGTATCTCACTGAGGTAATGATATGCAGCTAACATGTTACACACCTTAGGATACACTTTTGTCTTGGTGTATATGTACATCAAGTCAAGTGGCCTCTGAAAAAGCTTGCTTGGTCACCAGAAGCAACATAGGTGTATTAATACAGCATGAGATACCTCTTGCTAATACTATATTTTGCCATATTGATACATCACTTGGAACACCATCAGTCTGCTGCCCATCACAGTTAGGGCAAATGATAATCCTACCACATTTAGTACAACATGTCCACAATTGCTACATCACTGTGGAGACAGTGTTCTCACAGGAGAATGGATAATTGGTACATAAACTCTGAATAATCCTGAAAGATACAGCAAGGCCATGAGAGGCCCAAGGAAGTTTAAGCAAGCAAGATAAGAAGAAGCTGTAATTCACTGAGTTAATGAGAACTGTGGGCTGTTGGCAAGCTTGCAAGGTCAAGTTCTCACACCTGTGCTTAACCAATTACATGTTAGTCGCTAAGGGTCTTCAAGACATGTATCCAATCATAATATGCCAAATCACTGTAAGTGCCTGTAAGAAATGGTATATAAGGGGTTAAAGCTTTGTAATATATTGGCATTCGCTGATCACATTGATCGTTCCTGCTCTGTCCGTGACTCCCGCGTCGACACATCACCACTACTGAAAGCAAAATACAGTTTGGCTGGTGTACACAAAGGAGTCTTGAACCTGCAATGTCAGGCAGTCAGTGAGACACAACTGTACCTACAGTGTTGTCAAAAACTGCACAGCAGGATTAGGCTAAAATGCATTAAAAAAAACCATAGTTGCAAGCAGGTTTTAGAGTCAATGTGCACACTAACAATTCCCCTGGTGCTTCTCTCTGCCTGCAAAGTCAGCGTAACAATACACATGGGAAGGCATTACTTCTACAAAGGAAAATCACCATCTTTTTTTAGTTTTAATTCCTGAAACATACACACAAAAATAGAGTCCCAGGAGAGACCAGGAAAGTATATGTTACAATAGCTTAATAATAATAATAATAATTACTATTATCATTATTATTATTTATAATTAATTATAATAATGCTTATTATTATATTACTATTATTTTAAAAAAGCACAAAAAGGGAGAGAGGTTTGATCCTGCAAAGTTAAAAGCATTCTACCCTTGAATTAACAAAGCATTTCTGTCTTTACTCTCTCTTTAAGTTCATGAATATTCCTCACGGAACTCAGTTCAGAGGTAAGTATATGCTTAAGTGCTGTGCTGGGTAAGAAACAGCAGTTTGAGCTCTGCAGAATCAAGGATTATGTTTAAATCTTCTGTGGCTGATTTTGTGCTAGTGCTTACCTGAATGTCTTTGCTTACCTGAATGTCTTCTTACTGTTTCATTCATTTCTGATGCATTAGAAATCATATCGTTATATTGAAGACTAAATATATGCTCCTATGTATCACAATTGCAGACTTCATGATAAAGGAGAAGAAGGCTTTTAAAAGACTTGGAAACACTCATTTCTTGACTTTATTTCTAGTATTATAAACTGAAAACTTTTTGCTACTGACAGAATTAATGCACATTCTCTGTATAATTTCAGTTTTCTAGCAGAAGACTTTTATAAGGAGGAAAAATTATTCAGTTTCTAAACATTAGAGATAGTCAAATTGCATCCTAATTCCTTTTCCCACATTTTGGTTTGCACTACACTGATGCTGAAGCTATAGTGTGCCCACAAACCATCTAAGTTCCATAGAAGTTACCCATGCCCTGGATAGACATGTAAAAAGAATCTGACATAGATGTTTTCCTCTGCACAATGACGATGGAATCACCCAGTTCTTTGATAGCTACACAGCTGAAGCACACTTTCATCTCAGAAGAAAGTATTTAGCAGCAAACAGAACTACCAATGGTAGCAGCCTAGCTACTTACTACTACACAGAAAAATAAGCCAAATACAAGTAGAGAAAAATTCCACAACTGATAAACCAGTCACAGTTGATAAATCACATGAACAAAGATAAGCAAAGGCAACAGTAATGTCATTACTACTCTGACATTGCCCTTGTATTGTCTGTACATACTCACTTTTAATACAGAGTTTCTTTCTGAAGCATTAAGTCTTCACTGAAGGCTGAGGGAAGAAAAGCAAAAGGAGACTTAGAAATAACTCATGCTATTTTACCTTGATATTAAATAAATATTCAGGCAATAGGAAAGCCACCTTACAACCATGCCATCAGCCTCCCATACTTGAATTCCCTTATTGTTGCAGAGCATAGTAGGTTGCGTATTTTTGTTTGGTTGGGGTTTTTTATATATGTGGACTTACAAGAAACCTGCAACTAGTTAACTTACTTTATTAAAAAGGTTCTCAACGCCTGTAAGGAAAGGACAAGAATGGAAAGCATGAGAAAATACAATGCAAATTGGGTCAGTTTGAGCCTTGAGGTGCTTAATGCACGTGAAAAGAGTATTTGCAATGAAAACCAAATTTATATTCTAATTTTTTCAGTGTTATGAGGAATGAAACAGGAATGCACTCAAACAGTGCCCACTTTGTTAAAAATGCAAACTTGTCACACATTGCAAGCTGAATAAATTACTGAATGTGTGGCTGGTGCCACACACTGCTCTTATCCCCAGGATTTGAATAAAGATTCAACCAAAGGCCCAGACCCGTGAAGTTGGCAAAAACGATATGCAGAATTCCATAAACTACATGCACATACACTTAGAGAAGACGCCAAAGTCAACCTGCATGGATATCTGAAAACACTAAAGGTCTGAAAAAGTCAGTCTTTTTTACTTATATTATTCTACAATGTTTTAATTCCCAAGCAAAAGAGTTGTTCGATATCCTTGTAGCCTATTTTCCATGAGCAGTTCCTGTAGAGTCAAAGATGCCTCATTCTTTGATGGGATTACAAGTTTTGCTGATAAACACAAAAGCAGAAATAAAATATACTCTGAATTCTGTAAGGTTTTTAAAGTTCTAAAGTGTATAGTTAATGGATTAAATACTGACTAAATGACATAAGTGTTGAAAACAAAAAAAGAAATGTAAAAAGAAAAAACTGTTAGAGGTAATCATGACTCAACTGAAGTCAATTCCATTGATAACAGAGTATTTACACTCTGGAGGTAAATACCACATCTCTGCAAATACAACTAGCAGCAGACAAAATCAGACTGATAAACAATGAGTAGGAGAAGGTATTCACAGATGCAGATGTTTTTTAAGCTGAATTTACACAAAAACCCTGTGAAGTTGTAATGAACCCAAATGTAAAGTTATAAAGCTGTGAATGAAGACTGTAATCCACACCTACAGAGCAGGGAACCCAGCCTTGCACAACAGCAACTCTAAAATAAGTGCCAAGTTCCAGTATGACCTTTGGTTGAATGAAAGAGAAGTCACAAGAGATCTGGAAGTCATTCTGCTCATCTCTGAAGCACTGCTGAGGATCCATAACGAAATACTGCACAAGCACTTCTTACGTTTTAAGGACATTGAAAAATTCAGAAGGATGCACAGAAGAGGTTTAAGGAATCAAACTAAGGGACAAAGAAGAAAATATTAAAAAGCTGCTTTAAATACACTTAAAAAGAAAAAAAGGCTCTTAAATCCTGCAAAATAAGTCTAACAAGACCCAATGATAACAACAAAAGTGAGGCACATTGAAATTAGATAAAGTTTCTAATAGTAAGAATAATAAACTACTGAAATAAGAGAAGAAATGGCAAGCTCCCTGTTCCTAGTACCTTCAAATGACTGGATAACTTTCCATTAACGCTGTTTTTCTCAAACATGACAGTCACTAGGTCAAACACAGCCTGTATTCCCAGGAGGCTGGAAAATTGATATAACTATAGACCCTGACATAAGAGGTGATTTCAGCAGTTCACAGCCAGCAATGTGAGCTTCCTTTTTTATGTCATGTCTACAACTGATCCCGTGGGCAGTTAGAAAAAGTGCCACCTGAAATTGGGTTTGAAGTAAACAAAAATCTCTCTCCCCCTTCTCTTTAACTCTACTACCACAGAGTTTCTCTGTGCCCTCTCCAAACCATCTAGGTCTACTCCACACAGCTTTGCTCAGACAACTCGTCAGCTATTCTGAGACAGTAAGTACACATTACGCTTCTTCAAAATGAGAATCACAGGTGAAGTTTATGAGGTATTTAAAAAATATTAATCATACTATTACAACATACTCTGGTTTATGCTGCAAATGTGTCTCCCTACCCTCAATTTTCTTTAATCATAAACAAACGTAATTTTGCATACTCTACCTGAATATTCCATTTTATGATAGCCAAGACCAAAACTGTCTTAAAATGGTCAATCATCACAGAATTTATATTGCTTTGCCTTAATTTTTTCCCCACAAATGCACATAAATAAAACAGAACTAATACTGCTATGAACTTGGATAACAGAACTTGACTTGAGAGCTTATTTTAGTGGAAGAAATGCTTCTTTTCAACACAGCATTTGTGACAACCGCTGTTTAAAAAAAAAAGAGTTCATTTGTGTGATTGTGGCTATCATGACCTAAAAAGATTTCTTTTCCCTCCTGGAGGCATCACACAGTTAGGTAAATCCAGACAGAGAAATTATGTAGATGCAGAGAAACAGTAGCTAAGGAGTTTTCTGAAAATCTCACCCAAACTCGGATGAAACTGCCCAGGTATTAGACAAGACCATGTGTCTCAAAGTAGAGTTTACTTCCTGCCTGTTTTTCATCTCATGCTTACTGCGATTCTGCACACAGCAACTGCGCTTCAGACTTCTTGCTGGAAGCTGGAGGAGGCAGGTCACACCTAGGGCAAGTGAAAGTGCACTGCTAGCTGCAAGCTTTAAGTTATTTCTCAGGGAGCAGCAGGGTACTATGTTCCCTCATTGCAGTGTGAGTCTTGCTGTCTCTCTCTTGGAAAATGCAGCAAGGCAGCCCTTGCACTGCAAATAGCTCTCAGATTTCACCGATGTTTGCAATTCATTGCCAGGCAAGGATAAGAATGTTACATTGTCCAAACAGATCGGTTATTCTTTCATGCTGCTTACAGTAGTAAGCATAGCTAAAGCACACCAAAGCCAGTGGTGGAAAGCTGGTGTACTCAGTACCTGTGAAGGAGGACAACCAAGCAGCCAGGCACCATTATGTTTTGCACCTGTTTGGGAAAAGTCCTCAAGGGCATTCCCACATATAGTCAAATCCAGAGCAGTCACAGGAGGGAGCAATCTTCGAGAACAAACACTATGAGAAATCAATTATAAATATGGTGCCAAACAAAGAAATGAAGGCATTATGGCTGACATTACACTTGACTTTTCGGTAGTATTCAAGAAGCCACAAGCATGGTGCACCCACATTCACCTCTCCAGAGCACCCTCAGAGACTTTGACTCTCCTCTGACACTGCTAGGCTGAGCACCATTCCTCACCTGACCTTTTCTTCACTGATCTCTTGTCTGGTCATTGTCTCTCTTCTTATACTGCTATCCATTTCCATATCCTTCTTGAACACCCGTTTCCAGACTTGCAAGGGCCTTCTGGATATGTGCCTTTCTTCTTCCACTCTTTGCTGTCTTCTTCACTGAAGCCTCATACTTTATTCTCTCTGCTCTTCTCAGAAATTTCTTCCCTCCTTGTGCATTCAAAGGGTTTTCACACTGCCTGATCCGAGTTCTTAAAAAGATCAAAAATAAGGATGAACAGTTATTTACAACTTTGTGCGTGTGTGTGATTGAAATCTAAATTAAACCACAGAGAAATGACACAAGTAACAGCATCTCCATTCAACAAAATGCCTGTTTATACTCATATACCAAGAAACACAAGATTTATTTATAAAAAGCAGTACTTCCAAAGCATAGTTCAGTGTTTTTTCTTAAGTTGTGTTTAATTTGATGTTTTTTATTCTAAATTACTTTCCTTTCTTTTTTAGATGTTACCGTTATTTTACGATTATGAGGTAGTCCTCACTCCTTCCTCACTTTGGGACTCATCTTGATTTAAGTCTAACTTGTCAAATTAAGCACAAGCCTGTTAGAAACCAATCCCCTACAAAATTGCTTTACTTTCGTTATTTTCCCTTACAGGGAAGGCGAATGTGAGAGAGGAAATCTTCTACCTTTGGGGTGCCTAGTTACATCATGCCCTGAAATAAAAGAAATATACATTTGATATGAGAATACTTCCTCCTGAATTCCTCGGATGCATTATTTCTCTATGTCAGACAATTTACCAGCCGTCTCTCCAGACTTCCTTGTCTCCACACTGCATTCGTGTTCAGTAATTGAGCAAAACTGTGCTTCTCTTTTTACATGGAGAAGACTGTTACCAGTGCAAAGGCAGCCTGGCCAGGAAGTCCTGAGGGAAAACCACTTTTCTAATATCATCCCTAATTGTATTACTCATCAAACAGCACTACTTCTCTATGCAGTGTCAGTAGCTTAGATGACTCCTGTCTGCAGTGGAACAGGACTGGAACAACACAACATTAGGCTTTGGGTTGGCTGACAACCCGCCAAACCCACCCTCCTTCATTAAGCTTCATGCTTTTCCCAGGAGGATAGAAGATCAGTCACTCTGGGCTTGAACTTCCCAGTGGCCATTCTCCAAGGGCTGCCCTGTACTTGCATGTACAATGGGTTAGAGAGTAGCACAGAGCAAACCCTTCCTGGCCCACTCACCTCTTGGCTGTCACTAAGTCCTGCTCCTGGATGTTAGCAGCAATGTTCCCCTCTCAGTAGTCCCAGGTTACAGCCTACAGGACACACTGTCCCCTGAGAGATTAAAACCAGCATACCAGCCACCTCAGGGAAATGGCTGCTGCCTCAGGCAAACAGCCACCTCATGCCCACCATACATAAGGAGCCTCAGACAAATAGCCAACTGGGTCAAATGGTCATCATAAATGGAGAACCTCATGCAAATTATCTGCCTCAGGTAAATGGCCACCACATATGGGGCTCTGCAAGCAAATGGCTGCCTCCAGCAAATGGCCATCACGTGGGGCAACACTGGCAAATACCCACCTCAGACAAATGGCAGCCACATGAGCTCCTACCTTTGCCTGTGTACCCTGGAGTACTGAGAGCTGCAGGACACACTGAAGTCAGCCAGGCCAAAGAGAGAAGTTTTCCTTTTGTACCTTTCACAACCCCAAAGCAGGACTTGGAGTCCCATGCTGGAGCAGCTGTACCCAGGGAGATGCTGGCCACCTCTCCCCTGCCATAGGGCCACCACTGTCACCAGGCCCACTCTGGGCTCACTACCCTGCCTCTGCTCTGCAGACATGCTATCCACAAGTGACTAGCATTACCTCTCCACAGCTGGTTTGTGGGCTGAGGTTTATTTGGGGCAAAAGAATGACAGTGCTGCCTTGCACACAGGCTATCCATCACAGTTTCAGGTGCAGAGGCACAGTGTGTTCCCTTTCCTTCCTCCTGACTGCCCTGAGGCATCTATCAGCAGTGACCAAGCAGCAAGCCACCCTTGTCTGGGAACTGCGCTCAGGAAGTTTGCAGTGTGAAATTAGAAATGGAGAAATAAATTGTGGAGGTATGCCCTGCTCCCAGAGGCTAAACTCATTGCCACGGTGATCCCAGAGAAACACAACCCACGTCTGAAAGGAGGAGGGAGAGCTGTGCTGTGGAGGTTTACAGCCACTCAATATAACTCACCATGAGCAGCACATCCACTGGTCTGGAAAACGGGGGGAGGAAGGGGAAATCGCATTCCTTTCTCAGGCCATTTTAGTTAATACCTGCTGTGACCATATACTCGCTCATAAAAACAATCTCTGCATCAAATATTAAAGTATTTCCATGGAAATCTCTAAGTTCTGTACTTACGGCCCTCAATCTTTTTTGTTCATTCTATCACTCCTTCTTGAATAATTAACACCAGGTACAAAATATCTTTTACATTAATTCCTACTACCACTAAAAGAGCAGCTCCATCTGATGTCTACCACTTAGTACCAAGTGATGTACAATGCTGATTTACCCTTTATATTCAAGTTTTTACATAAAGGGCAACACTTTTCCCACGGGTACAACTGAAACTTTCCACCTGAGCATGCTTTCAAGAGACTTGCCACCAGAGGACCAATGCCTGGAGAGAGATGGGCATCACAGCTGCCCTCAGCCCTCTGTTCTGTGGCATGGCTGGCTCCTGAGTCTTCAACTATTAGCATTTTCACACCTTTTGAGCTCTGCATATTCACTTTCATCTGCCTCCTCTCAGGCACCACCATCAAGCCTGCCTCAGCTTTCTGCACACCCCCAGTAGGGCATCAGGTCACGGCCCCAATGCCAGGTGCTCCTCTGAGACTCTGCACCAACCCGAGGGACAGTTCATCAGCTCCTCCTGCTGCCTCTCCCAAGCATTTTCTATCCTTTTTACCTTCCCTTTTTACTTTAGGCTGTTGCCATGGAAATCCCAAATTACGATCCCTCCTCGGCCTCTCTGAGCCCCAGGAACCAGCCCGTGGAATTTTCTTTCCTCTGCTACCAGCAGTCTCTCTTGGATTGTGTCCCCCCTGCAGAGCAGCATTCTGGGTTCAAGCTGCACTTTAGTGAGTCCCAGTACTGCTGCAAGACGAACCCCACCCCACATCACAGTCTGTCACTGCACACCGTAACAAATGTAGTTAAAAGTGTTGGATAATTCAGCTAAAAACATAAATAAATCAGAAATGCTCTGGTCCTTCAGTTTGTCAGGGCTCATCTAGTAATATTCAGAGTGCACTGCTTAATACAATAACTATGAATTAACTTAAAATAGGTCATTTTACCACAATAAAGTAGAAGAGATTTCCAAAAGGAAAAGGAAATGCTAACCTACATATGCCATTGAAAATCTTCCTTCATTTTGGCTTTGTATACATTTGATATTACTGTTGGCGAATTTTGTAAAAAGTATTTGTACCTGAATCAGGTTAAAGGAGTTAATATGAAGGAATAAACCTATATTTTTCAGCAAAAGTACAAATAATATTTTTTCATTTCTTGATTAAAATGTCATAGAATTGAAGAAAATATTATTTTCAATGCAATGATGCTAATGCTGTCTCTAAGAATGATACATAATGCAATAGGAAAGACAATAAGAAGTGAGCCATATGTATCCACCACAATTCACTGACAGGTGCTTTTTTTTTTTTTAACCAATATAGTGTCTAATGAGCACAATAACCAGAATAACAAAAAGCCATTTTCACTTCCAACACACTTTACAATGATGCTTTTGCAATTTAAGTACTATTCTTAATCCATTTTCACAGGCCTTTACCTTAATGCAACAAAATGAAAGTGACCCTAGGGACATTTTCTCCTCTCCACTACAGACAATACAAGCAAACTATGCAAACTCAAAACCGTGAAGATTGTTGCTCTTAAATGGGACTGTCTCCGTCAGAGCACAGAGACACTTTGCAGACACTGAGGCATAACTATGTATTTACCAGCAGTGTAATTTGCTACACTGTGATTCGTGCTGCAACTGTGGTTTATAAAATCATAGTACAATTATTTAATTCAGTTCAATTTGCAAAACCCTCTCTGGCAATTGGTTAATAATAACTAACTCAATCTGAGCAAAGCACTCCAATAATCACTGTATTACCTTTTTTTTTTTTCAATTACTTCGCGGTTAAGTGCAAATTTCTTACCTCTGAACAGCTCTACTTGAACTTACTTAATAATGATCACCTTTGCCAGTTACAAAAGCAACGTGTTAACTTTTCTTTCTTACAGTGAAACAGCAATTTCCAATGTGACATAATAATAAAGAAACCTAATAGGTATCCAAATGTGAGACGCTGTCAAAAGGAAGTAGTTTTAAATTTTCTTCAA